ATCAGTTAATAAAAGGTGCTATAAATTACCAACAATTCAGGTATAGAAGGAATGCACATTATATATGACAAACCCAGAAATAATGTCCTACTCAGCAATACAAAACTGAAATCATTTTTCTAAGCAATCAGGAACAATATGAGAGTGTCTTCTCTGGCAACTTTTATTCAATATAATCCTGAAAATTCTAATAAGAACAATTAGTTAAAAAGAAAATTGTAGAAATCCATCCAAGTTCCAAATAAAGAAATAAATTTGCTTCTGCTCATGGCATGAGCTTTCGTGGAAAACCATAAAGGTGTCTCTAAAACTGGAAGTTGTTGAACTACACAGTGCACATGGTAAAGTTACAGGGCACCAGATAAACTGTGTATCGATGCAGCAACAAAAAGTACCCCAAAAAATTACCAAAACAATTTGATAAATTATAGCATCTTGCTGGCTAGATTTTTGTTACTGTTTTTTCCTATCAACTTGACATAACCTAGGGCATCTGGAAAGCAGGAACCTCAATTTAGAAAATTCTCCATCAGAGTCACCTGTAGGCAAGCCTGTGGGGAAATTTCTTGAAAAATGACAAATGTAGAGAGACCCAGTCCACTATTCAGAGTGGCATTCCTGGGCAGATAGTCCTGGGTTGTATACAACAGCAGACTGAGCAAGCCCTTGAAAGTCAGCCAATAAGGATGGTCTCCCATGACCTCTCCATCAGTTCCTGTCCTTCTTTAGTTCCTGCTATGAATTCCCTCAGGAATGGACTGTGACCCTTGAATAGTATATATAAGCCAAATAAGCCCTTTCTCCCCAAGTCGCCTTTGGCCATAGTCTTTATCACAACAAGAGAAACCAAACTAAGACCACAATACAAATAATAGTATACAAATAACAAAGTAAACAATTTATACACCAAATATTAGAATTCCTATCAGACACAGTCATGCCACTGCTGAGTGTACACCCAAGGAAGCATGAGTATACTACAAGGAGTTTTCTATCAGCATAAGTCAAGATATGTTTATCATCACAGAAGTAATCAGAATTGCCAAGTTCTGGAAATTGACTATGATGAAATGGATAAAATGAAGTGTTAGACACACACATACACACGAGTGTCACTTACTCATGAAGAATTAAATTTAGTCTTCCAGGACATGTTTGTAACTGAAGATTGCCATGTGAACTAAGATGAGCTAGACAAAAAAAAAAAAAAACAAAAAACAAAAACAAAAGCAACAACAACAACAAAAAAACCTAATAGCACTTTTTTCATCATATGTGGAATCTAGAGAAAACCACAAGATATAAAGAGACTATTAATGAAAGGGATACGGGCATGCACAAAACCATGAATTATTTTCTACAGTGGTTGCATGCTAATGAAAATTTAAAAAGACAGAGAAGAGAGAAAGAAAACAAAGATGCCATACGAAGAGGATGAAATACCAAGGAGTCCAAATAATCCAGCTTTACCTCAGCCTATGAGAAGGCAGATTGATTTCTGAAGACTAAGACCTATTTACAATAGAATCAAAAGTAATATAATTTATGAGAACAGAAAGAAGAAAGGTGGTTGGTAGATTGTGTCAGGGCCTCTATTTAACAACTTCATGTGGATTTTGAAATAAAGCCTTTCCTCAATCCTCTCCCTATCCCCAAAAAGTGAATTTATTATTGCCCAATGAGACTCATGAGCATCACTAGTCCAGTTTGAAAAAATAGGAATGTAGGCAGCTGACCCCACTGGCATTGTTAAGTGACTGCCCCAGGGAGATGATAAACATTTGTCTCATCATTATTTTTCTTGGTCAAAATGAATCCCACTTTAGATTCATCATATTTAATGATAATTCTAGGAGGACATTATCTCAGGAGACACCCTCCATTAGTGGGACTCAGAAGAGAGTTCAGCCTCTCTGGTTATTCAATGCCAAATCAATTCTGATTCAAGACCAAAGCTAATATTAGAAGGAAAAAAAGTTTTCAAGTGTTTGTTTATTTTGAAAGGACAAAATCTACTCTAGGGAATAGTGTAAAGTGTAATCCTTCTTCCCACAGGGGTGTGGTGAGAGGTATTATGTGAGGCCAGGCCTGGGAGAGAAGACAAGGAATGGACATTTTCCCCGCTCATATGTTCAGACTAGCCATCTGTGACTTAAAAATAAAAAAAGTTTTTTTTAAGTCTTGGAGAATCTTTCTCTCTTACCAATATCTTTAAGAGTTCACTTTCTGTTCAAAATTTGAAAGGGACATAATTATTTCCATGTCTGACTAATATGCGCTTGTTTGCAAAAGGCCAGAATCCCATAACCCATCTGGATCATGGACTTGGTGTCTATTGAAACTCAAAAAATAAGGGCTGTTTTCACCCTAATGACTGAGTCACCATGTCCTTGGGCAAGTTGTTTCCTCTGTATATAGCCGACTTAAAAACACGGAGTTAATAGTGTCTCTGACCCCCTTACCTCACTGGGAAGCTGTCAGCACTAACAAATAACAAACCCATATTTTTAGAGTAGAAAGGGAAAATAGCTTAAAATTTTGGTAACATTTTTCAGTCTCTCAGATCTACTTTGTACATTCTAAAATTTCAAAATGGATCATAGTGAACAGCAGGGAGTCAGAGAACACCAAGACACAAGAGTCATGGCTGACTTGGTGAGACAAATCCTATAAATGTCACAAAAGTCAATAATAATGATTTATTCAAGAAAGAAATGACTGACTTTTTACAGAAAGAAAATTACCGAACAAATAAAAACTTATAAAGTAAGCCTTAATTTTAAAAAAAAAATCACAGTATAGTAAACATACACTGAACAAGAATGGAGGGAAATTCTGAGTCTATATCTTGATTTCTAATCTAAGTCATTTGGCTTCTTTAGGTGTTCGTTTATTAATCAGAAAAGAAATGAAAGTCTATAATGATAATTGTAATTGAGTCTGCTGTACCAAGTTGAACAGCATTCCAATGAAATGATACAGAAACTATTCCTTAGATTTATAGAGCCCTGTGTCCGCCAGAGGTTGAGTGGGTAATGCTGGGCTAACTCTCCCATTTCTCTGGTCACCATAGCATTGCCTTCTTAGATTCAAGGACAGTGGTTACACCAGTTTTCTTGGACAGGAAGACAGTGCTCAGCATGTTCCACATAATTAGAATTCCCACCCAGCCATTTTTCACTTTGACAGGCAAAAGAGAGAGAGAAAGAAGAAGAAAAAGGACTTGTGTTCTATGTTTAGTCTGGCCTTTGATTTGAATGTGAAATAAAAACCTTGAATCTGAGGAATTGGGAAATGGACTGTCTTCTTTTAAGAAGCCTAAGTTTTCTTCTGGCACAGGGGTGTGTTGGTGTTACAGGAGTCAGCATTCCATAAAGTAGCTTTGAAGTGTCGTCAACCCATTAAAAAAAGAAGCAAGGAAAGTGTTTGCGGCAGGAGATTGTCAATATTTTTAAATATAGGATGAAAAGAAAGCAGTTTCTCTAGATAACATCTGTGATTTCCATTGACACCCAGGCTTAGAACATGGATCATGGGAAATCCAAAGAACAATTAGGAAGCACACAAAGTGACTTTGTCTCCTGTTTGATATCTGACCAATCTGACTCGGATCAGATGACAGCCTACCTGCATTTTCAACCTTTGCGAGTTTGTCAGCATTCTCGGACCACTCCAGCTTCTCTTTTTTAAAAAAATATTTATTTATTTATTATGTATACAATATTCTGTCTGTGTGTATGCCTGCAGGCAAGCAGAGGGCACCAGACCTCATTACAGACGGTTGTGAGCCACCATGTGGTTGCTGGGAATTGAACTCAGGACATTTGGATGAACAGACAAGGCTCTTAACCAATGAGCCATCTCTCCAGCCCCCCAGCTTATCTTTATGGCTTATTTTTCTCTCAATCATAATCATCTGCGTTTTACTGTTAAGGGTCTGTTTTACCATATATATGTCCTAGAAATCACTTTGTAGACCAGGCTAGCCTCAGACTCACAGATCCACCTGTCTCTGTCTCCCAAGTGCTGGGATTAAAGGTGTGTGCCACCAATGCCCAACTGTAGTAAGGAGCTGGGGGCAGGCCTGCTTTTCATCCCGCCCGGCTCCCTCACGGCTAGCTTAGCCCCAGAAATAATAACACATAAGTTGTATTCATTTAAACACTGCACGGTCCATTATCTCTAGAGAGTTAGTTACTGACTAACTCTCACATCTTGATTAACCCATTTCTAATAATCTGTGTAGCACCACGAGGTGGTGGCTTACCGGAAAAGATTCAGCATGTCTGACCTGGTGGCTGGCTCCATGGCGTCTGCCTCATTGCTCTCTTCCCAGCATTCTGTTCTGTTTACTCCGCCTGCCTAACTTTCTGTCCTATCAGAGGGCCAAGGCAGTCTCTTTATTAACCAATGAAAATAACACATGGACAGAAGGCCCATCTACATCACCCAACCTATATTTTTTTTATTCTCTCAATATCTCCCTTAACAACCTGATTTTCAAGCCTTCAAGAAAAAAAAAAAACACGATACTATATTCATTTCATGTTGTTATTTAAGTCCACCATGCTTATGCTTGGGCGTGGGAGTAAGCACACCTTGCAGGGCTCTTGGTATGTTCATGCCTTTGTTTCACTGGTCCTTGGATATCACTCATGAACATCACGCTTGAGGGTCTTTGGCTGCTTTGCTCCTCATTTCCCTTCCTCCTGACTCTGTATTGTTTTTCGGATCATCTTGGTGAAAGTCCCATATGAAGTGAGCCCTCAGATGCTAGGTCTGTCTGTGAGGAGGATGCCTAAAAGTAACCAGCATAGAAAAAAATTGCAAAAACAACTTAATGATTACAAATAAATATTAGAAATAGGCATGGAATAGAGGGAGGGAGAGGGAGAGGGAGAGAGAGAGAGAGAGAGAGAGAGAGAGAGAGAGAGAGAGAGGATCATTCCTCGCAACTGAACATTAGATGAAAATGTGATTTATTTTAGCTATGTTACACAAGCAAGTGCAGAAGAGTTAGAAATTTGATATTACTCCCTTAATTACCTTACCAATTTCTAAACTTGTTTTTCTCTTTCCACCTTATTTTTATTAATTCATTGAGAATTTCATACAACGTCTTTAGATCATTTTCACTCTTCACAACATTCCCCTCGATCCTTGTCCCTTTTCCCTACCCACTTAACTTGCTACCTTTTTTTTTCAATCAAGTACACTTGGTGTTACCCATATACTCTTAGGTGTGTGGCCTTCTATTGGAGTATGGTCCACATACCAGGAGCCACACCCTTAAAGAAAACTGACTTTGCTCTCTCAGAAACTCTCAGTCTCCAATAGCTACTCAGCTAGGGGTGGGACTTCGGCCCCCTTCTCCTCTGCAAGTGTGGATTTTGTCTGATTTGAGATTGTATAAGTCGAAAGTATGTGTCACAACTGTTACGAATGAATATATTCAACGGCTCTGCTGTGTAAAACACCTTATCCTCCTAGGCGTGCACTGCCTCTGGCTCTGACGGTCTTTCCACACTCTCTCCCCGACAACCCCTGAGTATCCCATTTTTAAGACTGAGTGTTCTGCAGTCACTTCTTCCCTTCACATTTACCAGTTGTGTCTTTGTGAATCATCAACTACTGAAAAAAGAAGTGTCACTCATGAGGGATGGAAGATTCAATACCCTATGGCAGTGGTTCTCAATGTGTGGTCGCTACTCCTCTAGTGGTCTAATCACCCTTTTACAACGGTCACATATCAGATAACCCTGCATAACAGATATCAAATTTATACTTTGTAACAGTAGCAAAATTACAGTTATGAAGTAGCAACAAAATAACTTTATGGTTGGGGGTCACCAAATAAGGTACTATATTAAAGAGTCAAAGCATTAGGAAGGTTGAGAACTACTGATGTATGCCATAATGGTAACTAATAGGAGTCCATTTACTACCATGTCCATTTAGCACTATAACAATATAAGGTTCTCCTGTAGGATCTATAACCTGCCTAGCCACATATTATTGACCCAGATGATGGTGCCAGGTATGGGTTTCAGTTTCTGGAGTAGTCTTTAAATCCTATCATAAAATAATAGATTATTCCCAAGATGTTCATTCTGCTATTACATGTGTCCAACTTATAATTATGGTGGCTCTCAGGGTCAGCAGCTGGGGAGAATTGCTGGTTACTCTTCTCCCCTGGTAGCAAACATAGCACATTGAAGCACATCTAATGAATAGACAGTGAAAATGTGGTACATTTATATAATGCAATACCATTCAGCTGATAATAAGAAATTATGAAATTTGCAAGTAAATGGATGCATTTAAAAACCAATCATTCTGAGTAGGTAAACTGTGACCAAGAATGACGAACACCAAAAGTTTTCTCTTGTTTGTGGATACTAGCTTCAAATTTTCAGAAGTGTGTGTTTCAATTGGAATACTCAGGGATCATAGGGATACATTCTAAGGAGGGGAGGTAAAATGCAATGGTAAAGAAGGTTAAAGGGGAATATGGGAGCACAAAGGGCTAAATGGGGTAGGGAATGGGGGAAGTGTAGAGAAGGGAATGTAGGGATGAATAAGCAACGCTAAAGGCCTTCTGAATGAGCCTCAGAGATATGTAAGTGGTACAGAATACTGGTAGCTCTCCCAGAAGGACACTGGTTTCATACCCAGCACGCAGTAGGTGTCTCACAACCATCTGTAATTTCAGTTCCAGAGGATCTAGTGCTTTCTTCTGGCTTCTGATGGCATCAAGGATGTAAGTGGTACACAGGTATATATGCTGGTAAAGCACCTGTAAACATAAAAAATAAAATGGCATGTTTTTTTAAAAAAAATCAAAAGACCTCCAAAGAAAGTCTTATGCAAAATTAGTACTGTAACTTTATGAAGCACACATTCATGCATGGATGTGTGCACGCACACACACACACACACACACACACACATACACACACACACACACATACACACACACACACACAGAGTATAAATGGAGTTACCATATAATGGAGAAACAGTGCCTCTAGTATGATATGGGAGGTCCTTCTGTCTACGTGTTGCTTTTATTGGTTAATGAATAAAGAAACTGCCTTGGCCTATTGATAGGGCAGAACCTAGGTAGGCAGGGAAGATAGAACTGAATGCTGAGAGAAAGAAAGGTGGAGTCAGGGAGATACCATGGAACCCCCAGAGACAGATGATGGGAATTTTATCCAGTAAGCCACAGCCTTGTGGCAATACACAGATTAATGGAAGTGGGTTAAATTAATATAAGAGTTAGCCAATAAGAAGCTATAGCTAATAGGCCAAGCCGTGATTTAAATAATATAGTTTCTGTGTGATTATTTCGGGTCTAAGCTAGCTGGTTGGCCAGGAACCAAACAAGGGACCTCATACTATACTAGTAGACACCATAGGCTAATAAAAGTCAAGAATGGGTTACATTCTGCTGTATGCCAGGTAGATTCCATAGACCCCCAAACATTACCAAATAGCGCTAATGCTTATGGTGACCTCCAGAATTTGATAATTAGTTTATATTGCTAAAGGCATCACATACTTGAGTCATTGAACATGGAGAAATCAGCTGCTACTGACCTTGCTTCATTCTCTTTATAGAAAGCAGAAAATATAACCTGGTTAAAATTATCAGTAGAGAGGTAGAGGGTAGGCATTAAAAAGAAAAATCATGGGAAAGATCAGAAATTTGGACTTGTGCAGAGCACTGTGTGTGACTGTTAGCTTTATCGTCTTGTCAGGGTCTAGAATCTCCTGGGAAGAAAATCCCAGGGAGGGATTGTCTAGATCCGGTTGACCTGCGGGCATTTCCACAGAGAACTATTACGATATATTAACTGAGGTAAAAAGACCTACCAATTATGGGTGACAGCATCGTCTCCGCTGTGGCTGTGGTGTGAGTCATTATTTTAAGTTCCTGCCATCTTGACTCTCTTGTCATGATGATCTGCAAGCTAAAATTGTGAGCCAAAGCAAACCCTGTCTCCCCTCAGCTGATTTTTGCCAGGATATTTCATCATAGCACTAGAAACGAAACGAGGACAGCTTATCTTCCTTTCAACCGGTGTCTGGAAAGCAGTTACTACAAGACATAAAAAAGCAATCATTTCAGCACCTTGGATGGAATGTAGTGGATGAAGAGGCCATGCTAATCACCATGTCAAGGATGTTGGTGCCCAGATTAAGGACTGATTCTGACAAGCATGTAGTCCCCAACTATTCAGAACTCCTCCACCCAAATCCTTTGCAATCTCCTGTTGCAGGAATTCTTTTTACTAGGTGACATCTATGTTCCTTCTTCTCAAGTCTGGACCTGCCTTGTCATTTTCTGTGGCCAATTAAAGACCATAAAAGTGATGACCTGTCATTTAGGAGGGTCTGCATAGCATACATCTCTTTGGAAACCAGCAAAAAAAAAAACAACATGTAAATAAGTCTGAAACCTGCCTCCTGGACAAGAAGAAAAGATGGCCCAATATTCCACATCTCCCAGTTCCAGACAGTCATGTGAGTGAGTTCCTAACAAACTCAACAACAGACATAAGCTGTATCTGTTGACTTAGCAGAACTGGACAGAGATAAGCTAAGCAAGAACCAGACATAGAGATAACTGACCCATAGACATGTGACCCATAATCCATGCAAAAGGAAACTGATTGACAGTCATTTTGTCAATTGTTTGCCAGGAACTTACACAAATCCAGAAACATCAGGTGAGGCCAGTAGTTTTCAGAGCTCATGCTGCAACCAGGAGTATCTGAAATTCAGAGTGAGCTGTTCTGGGAAACAGATTCAAAGAGATCATTTCTAACAGTCGTGATCTTAGATACTCTGAAATGACATCTGTAAAATGCTCAGAGTCATTGTTTTCTCTGATTTCCACTTAGGAGATATTTTATCTAGTTTGTAGCTGAGAGACTGTGGATAAGAGACATAAGGTAGGTACCAAGAACTGTTAGAGACTTTGCACTCGTCTGAACACTTCAAAGTGTCTCCCTAGAAACGTATTGTATTGCCACAGCTGACCACTAAGACACAAGCTTCTATGGTGGAAATGGTATTGGGGTAACTAACTAAGCATTTCTCAGGAAAAGGAGGCAAAGGGCAGCTGGAGAGAGGACAGTTACATAACACCTGCTGTGTCAGTACAGCAAACAAGTCCAGCAAACCTTGCTTCCTCCTGAGAACATTTGTCTCCATGGAAAAAACAGTGGAAAACCAGGCAAGTGTCAGGCTGAAGCTGGGAGAAGGAGGGCTCGGGGTCACAGGGGTTCAGCAGCCTACTGTCTGGTCTCTGCCCTCTGTCACCAGTTCCAGTCATGTGCTGTGCTCCCAGGTCCCAGGTATCCCAGTAGGTGTCACAAAAGGCAGACAAAGCAGAAAGTCTCCTATCATGGTCAGATTAATTGGATTTGAAATAAAACTTTTTCAATCTATTCTGAGAGTATGGCAAAATATTGTTTTTTCATTCTGTATATAAGATAATCTACTCAATCTTCATGAACATTACTTCATGGAATGCTCTGGAAGCATCCAATTCTGAAGAATTAAATTATAATTAATCCCCATGTATAGAATTAACAGTAAAAAAAAACACTTTTCTCACCATTACTCTATGGTTCACATATTTATAGTGCTGTTTTACAGATACAAAAATTGAAGTTTTAAAAGGAATAAACTACTTGACAAAAATCACAAAGCTGACTCCAATCAAACTTGGCTTTGCAACTCTGAACCCATGTATTTAATTATGCATTACACTCTACTATTTCAGGTCATTCACAGATAGAAAATAGAAAGAGAGAGAGAGAGAGAGAGAATATGGTAGCTAAATGTAGGGATATAAATGACATATATATATATATATGAGTTATTTGATCTCTTTGAATCTGTTTTACAGAACAGCTCACTCTGAATTCCAGATATATATATATACACACACACATTCACTTCAGAAGTTTTCTATATGTTATAATTTGTCTTTGAATCCTTACTTATCTTTAACAACTTGGTCAGATTAAATATAGGCATCTTGAGAATTCATTGCCTTGCAAAGTTATTGCATATGAAGATTCCTTAAAACAAATTATAACTCTGCTGAAACCCAGTGGTATATTATCAGACTTTTCTTTAGGTGCTGATATCATTTGGTTCTTGATAGGACCACATATTAAAGATTTAGCCCCCAGAGTTGCTCTATTGGAAGATGATGAAACCCTTTTGGAAATGGGAAAGAGTAGGAAATATTTAGGCCTGTTGGAATGAACCCTTGAAGTGGATTGAAGTGGACTGTGGTACGGCGGTTCCTTTGCCTCTCCTCTACTTTCTGGCAATGAGGCTGGTGGTTTTCTTCCATCATGAACAAGCATCTCAATAGTCTGTCTTATCATAAACCCAAAGTAATCAGATTAATTAGTCTAAACACCTGAAATCATGAGCCAGATTGAAATTTTTCGTTTTCTATGGAATGTCGGGTATTTGTTAAAGTGACAGAGAACTAAGTTAAATACGTGTTTATATATAACTTTTTATGAAACAAGTATGGGGCTGTAGATATGGCTCAGCAAGTAAAGTATTTGCTGCAGTGGGTATGAACCAGAGATCAGGTCTCCAGCATCCTCATAAATGCTGGGTGAACTTGACAACTTGCATGCTGTCCCATGGAATATAGAGACAAGGCATACATGGAGTGAGCTAACTAGCCTGTCTTTCCGAATTGGCCATGTCTACGTTCCTGCCTCGGTATGGAAAGCAATCAAGAAAGTCATCTTTCTGTGAGTACCAATGTTTATCAGTCCTGCTGTGTCTGGAAGATAATGTTTCCTTGGAGTGGAGTCAACCACCCCTCTTACAATCTCCCTGCCTCCTCTTTCACACAGATTCTTGAGCCTTAATAGGAGTTTGATGAAGACGTGTCACCGAGGATTGAGTGTTCCAAAGTCTCCAGATCTCTACACATTGTCCAGTTGTAGTGCTGTGTGTTAATTACCATCCACTAAAAGAAGATTTGTTTTTCTAGTTGTCAGGATTTCATAAATGTAAATGGAGACTGTGATTTTGCTTCCTAGCCACCCACACCCAAATAATCACACTAAAACTTTATTAATTACAACACTGTTTGGCCAATAGATCAGGTATATTCTTAGCTCTTACATCTTAAATTAATCCATTTCTATTATTTTCTATTTTACCATGAGGCTTGTGGTTTGTTACCTCACATCATGCTTCTTGGGCAGCTACAAGGCATCCCCTTGACTCTACTTTCTTTCTCCCTGCTTTCCATTTAGTTTTTCCACCTAGTCATATTCTACCCTGCCACAGGCAAAAGCAGCTTCTTTATTAACCAATGGTAATAAAACATATTCACAGCATACAGAGGGAAATCCCACATCACATAGATGCAATTTCCCTATTATCTATAGAAGACTCACAGCTTTGATTTTCAATAGATTGAGACAAAAGCCCACAAAAGGGTCAAACTTCAAAAAACTACTGAGCATCAGGGGCCCAACCACAGCTGACACATCTACAACATAACCCCTACACTTTAGTCTCAGGGAACATTGAGGAAGAGCGGAAGAAAGATTTCAACAACTAGAGGAAGATCCACAGTCACTTCTAGCATGTATTTATTTGCTGCTGCTCTCTGTTCCTGATTAGGGCTGTGATGTGATCTAACACAGCTCCCTGCTGTATTAGACTTTAGCCTTAAACTCTGAGTTTAAGGGAATTCTTTCTAACTTAAATTGCCTTTGTCAGAGTATTTTATTGGAACAACAGAAAATAAATTAAGAAACACATAATACAACTGCTTAAACAGTAGAGGCAGGAAGGCAGGGGAATTGCAAGTTCAAGGCCAACCTGGACTACAGAGTGAACACCCATCTTTAAAAAAGATGGAAAATAAAAAAATTTGCTTAAGAAACATCTCCACTGTTAAATATAACAAAAGAAGTAAAAATGTAAACTTGACTGTCAGTCCAGAAAAAGATGATAAACACATCCCTTAGGACAACAAAGTTTACTAAGGGAAAGGGGGGTCTTTGGGGCACTCTTGAGCCTTAAGATGGTAGAAAGAGGATTAAATAGAAACAATGCATTATATGGCAATCTAAACATGGGATGGGGCTTAGAGTGAAGGGGGTTTCACTAATGAGAGACACTTCATTAAGAGTAAATTGGGGGTTGGGGACCATGCCCCATGAGAGGAATGAAGGAGCCTTTGTAGAAAGCAGCCTTTAGAATACTTTCCTGGACAAATCTCCCTGAGGTCTCCCTATACAAACCCCAATACAAAGTAAAACTCTGACTTTTTATAACCTTTTAAGGGTGGAAGTAAGTTTCAAATCAAAGAACGTGAAGAAGTTGGGAATCAAACGTTGTGAGCTGTCAAGTCACAGTACAGATCACTTCTTTTTGTTTATTTTTCTTGTTCTGTTTTTTAAAAGAATGAAAGCAAACTCCCTTTTTTCATTGTATATACCAATCCCACTTCCCACTCCCTCCTCTCCTCTCACCCCAACACCGCCCGTATCCACTCCTCAGAGAGGGTAAGGCACATTGCTTTGGGGAAGGTCCAAGGTTCTCCCTACTATATCTAGGCTGAGCAAGGTATTCATCCAAAGAGAATGAGTTCCCAAAAGGCCAATACAAGCAATAGGAATAAATCCTGGTGCCACTGCCAGTGGCCGTTCAGTCTGCCCCAGTCATACAACTGTCACCCACATTCAGAGCGCTCAGACCACTTCTTCATTCTGTCCTACAGAGCTTCATAGAAATATGGCCTGATTCAAGGTCTGGGATCTGACCTGAAAGTTCAGTCTTGCATTCTAAAGCCTAAATGCTGTTCATCAACATTTAGTCTTCTGTAAGTCAAGTAGCACTTCCTGCCTTCTACAACTTTTTCTTCTTTTATTTCCATGATCAGTTTGTGTCAGCAAGCTTCTTTGCCTTTTACCCCTGGGTCAAACTCGCAACAGTGTTCTCTGGTGTCTGTCTTCCTTGTATGCCCACTTTTTCTCATGTTACGGTTTTCTTATGAATTTTTCAATGACTTTTCTCATGACTGGAAGCTACTAACTCTACTCCTTAGTCTGAACCTCCACCCTGAACTCTCTTCTGTATTCTACAACTCTGCCATATGTGTCCCACTGCACTTCAATCCTCTCAGCAAACCCATTTAAAAAGACTCTTTACAAACATGCTTCACCAACCCCCATATTCTTTATGTCTGTTCATCACCAACAACCTTATCCACAATCAACCAAGTCCTGACTTTTCTACCTGAACTAGTCCCTGCAACAGTCCACCTTCACAAGAACAGCCATCACACACAAAGAGAGCTTATTCCTTTGCTCCTGTCTCTTTCCTCATCAGTCCATCTTCTGTACGATTTTCACGATTATACTCCTACAACAAAGGAAGAGACAAGTATATATGATCACATCACTCTTCCCTGTGACTGACTGCTCAGGCACTTGTTGGCTTGGGGAATGGGCAGTCTAAGATGTAACAAATACATCATCTGTCTCTGGAACTGTACCTTTACTTCCTAAATCCACTCCCAGCTGCTCCCCGCACAGTAGCCCACTCCCACAGCAAACACCCTTGCAATCTCCCTTCCAGCCATCATGAACTTCTTACTTGGCCTTCTGCTTAGACACGGTCTGTAATAACTATATGTGCATAGGCTGCTCCTTTTCATGGGTGGCTGACCTGGCTCAATCTACTGACCTCTTATTTGCCTTTCCAAATCCAATGCCAATGTTGTATCTTCTGAGAGACATGTTCTGACTTACAGAAACAGTCAAAAACTCCTTTCCACATACTGGGGAGTGGTTAAACATAGTACTGCTCATCAGGCCCAACGGACACCAGATACTGCTGGGTGATGGAGATACTGTGGTTGGGAAGATAGGACTCTCTTCACTCTGTGGAATGCGTGTGCTGATTAAAGCAACTCAGTGGAGAATACAATATGGGGCTAAACTGTTGTGGCTCTGTGCTTTGCAGATATGCACAGCCAAACCAATGCCGTTCAGTAGATGGTGAAATGCTGTCTCGATAGTTTAGTTTCTATAGTCACTTTCCTCTGCTAGTCACACATCTCTTTAGCTCTTTCCAACTTAACCATGGCTAGGAGGCTGCAGAGATGGCTCAGTAGTTAAGAGCACTTCTCGCTCTTCCAGAGGACCAGGTTCAATTCCCAGCACCAACATGGTGGCTCACAACCACTTGTAACTCCACCTCCAGGGAATTCAATGCTCTCTTCTGCCCTGTACTCCTACCAAGCACATGTGTGGTGACGTCTGGAATCTCATCGACTTATATTTAATTTGTGGATTAGAACCTAGTTATCTGTGGTTTATATAATTCATTATTAAGTATGTTTGAGTTTCATCTCCTCAGTCAGAATGCAAGTTTTCCATGGTGAAACAGTTGTCACCTCCCTGTCCTGAATTCTGGATATCTCAGCATGGCTACAGGACACCCTGTAGCCATGACAACTATTTTCTAGTTTAATCATTAATACAGCAAGGGACTGATCATTCCAGTCTTGTAGCCATGACAACTATTTTCTAGTTTATTCAGTAATACAGCAAGGGACTGATCATTCCAGGCACTGAGATGAAGACAAGCCAGGGGGAAAGAAGAGTAGGAGATGCCTGGATGAGGGATGCTGAAGTTTCTCAAGGTGACACATTGCACAGGAAAGTCCTGTTTGTGAGCAGAAGAGGAGAGATTTCTTGAGTACTTGAATTCTGAAGTTGTTATCATCTGTGGATGGATGGGTTGGACTTACCCAGACACTGGGTAAACTCCACAGGCAGTACACGCATGAGGTATGCAAATATACATGCAACCCAGATACCCATACACACGAAATAAAAATGAAGGATAAACAACTCAACACAACAACTCCCTAAATAAGATTTGAACAATCACTCAGATACCCACGCTAACATAAAAGAGGTAAAGCTCACAGGGGCCCACCCCTAGACAAGAAACTATAGGAGATTTCTGGCTTCTGACACTTCCCAGGGATGAGTATCCTATTAGGTTATTCAATGCCAAGTGATCAGCTCTGAAATCATATACATACAATACACACTAAATGAACTCAACAGGTTATAAATATTTATGCATTTATGTGTGTGTATGTGTAATAATAATATAATAATAAACAAAAAAGAGACCTTGAATTTAGGAAGGAGGTCATGGAAGGAATTGAAGGGAGCAAAGGAAAGGGAGGAAATGATATAATTATGCTTTAATTACAATTTTAAATATATGTATGTGGAGGGCCGCAACCACATTCTCCATTACTTTAAGGGACTGAGGTAGTTGACCTCTGTGACTTCAAGGTGTGGTAGCACATACCTTTAATCCCAATGACTGGGAGGCAGAGGTACGTTGACCTCTGAGACTTTAAGGGGCAGAGGTAGCTGACCTCTGTGACTTCAAGGTGTGGCAGTACACACCTTTAACCCCAATGCCTGAGAGGCAGAGACAGATCTCTGTGAGTTCAAGGTGTTGTAGCACACGCCTTTAATCCCAGCATTGGGGAGGCAGAGACAGTGGGACTATAAAGCGCATGTGCTTGGTAACTTTCCACTGTTGCGTCCCTGCCTACTCCTGAGGCGTCATCTGGGTTGATGGGCAGCGGACCAATCCAAGAGTAAAACGTCCGAAGCGAGGACTGTTTCTTATATAAGGGATGGGTTCCCCTCATTCTGGGTCTCCGCTTCGTAAGCTTTTGCTCTCTCTCTCTCAAGACGCATTAAAGCTTTTCTGCAGAAGGATCCTAAGTGTGCCGCATCGTTCTTGCTGGCGAGACGGTAGCGCGGGACATATGTATATATATTTATACACATATAATATAAATATATTAAGAGTATATTTATATAAATTTATTTAATATAGTTATAATTATTATTAAAGTTATATAAATACATGAATAACTTTATATTATAATGCATATATTTATAAAATGAAACCAGCAAATCCTCATGAATCCTCTGACTTCAGTAGCCAGAGACCCAGGGCAGGAAATGACAAGTTTCAAACAATGTAGCCGGCAAGTGGTAGAGTCAGTCTCCACAGCAGCCCTGCCGGTTTCTGAGGCATAGGGTCTTACACACCAGTTTCTGTAGTAGGGAGAGAATTCTAGACTAGTCAATTGGAGCTACCAAGGTTCAGTCTCCATTCCTCCACACTAATTTCCTTCATCAACCACACAGGACCTAATTCCATCAACTGTTTTCCCAGCACTGACTAGTTTCCTCATGCATGTGCCCTACTGACCTGACTCGAAAACCTAAAGTAAAAACAACAATCCACCTTCTCCATTCCTACTCCACATAAGTGGCCGGGGCAGGGGTGGGGAGGGGGAGTTACAATCAGTTCATAAAGTTCCTCTTCTCACTTCCCTTGCCCTCAGCAGAAAAGCATCCCTTTCACTTCCTCCTGTTCAGCCCACTTATGGGTCCTTCAGCAGTCCTTCCAAGCTTGAGTCTTCTCCTGGGCTGCCTGTGGCCTCACCTCCTGCTTTTATACTCAACCTTCTATTGGGTGAGCTGAGTCACTTCCATTTCTGCTTGTCCTCCATTCTACCATCTTCCTATCGACTTCTTCAGGACCTTGATGAATCACCTTACTCCATCTGCTTAAGAACAGATTTCCTCATTTTTTCCCTTGGCTTCTCTGTGGCCCAAAGACATCCTCAAATCATTCTGTGCGCTTGAGAAACATCATTGATTCTGCTCTACCCCTGCAGCTTTCACTTAGTCTCTCTTCCCCAGAGTTAAGCTTCTCTCAACATCCTTCATGTAGTTTCAGAAGTGGCCAATTATGCCAACCATTTCCCCAGTAGCGCATTAAAAACTCATGATTCCAACTCTTTGTTTCCCAAGGCTAAGAAGAAAATTTGACCTATCATAATATACAATGGTCTTCTAACATTTTCAAGTGCTTCACTTTTTATAGAAATGAAAATATGCTCACAATTTGTCACAGTCATTTTAAGGATTCAGTCTGAGCATTTAGTACTTTTAGAGTGCTGTATAACCATGATCACTGTCCATTTACAGAACGTTCTCATTATCACGAGTAGAAATTCCACTCACCTTTCAACAACTCTTCTCTTTTTACCTCCTAGTACCTATTCTTTTCTGTACTATCTGTCTCACAAAATTTGACTAATCAAAGTAACTTACATAAGTGAAATCCTGCCATATTTCTGTTGACCAAGTTTTCTGTCCTACCAGGACCCACATCCGTTTAGTCCCAAATAAACACACAGAGGCTTACATTAATTATAAACTGGTTGGCCTAGTCACTCAGGCTTCTTATTAACTCTTATAACTTGTATTACCCCATAACGCTTGTCTGTGTTAGCCACCTGGCTTGGTATTTTTTTTGGAGAGGCAGTTACATCTTGCTTGCTCTGTCTGGCTTCCTCTGTGTCTGGGTGATGACTGCAGACTAAAACTTCCCTCTTCCCAGAATTCTCTTTGTTCCACCTCTACTTCCTGACTGGTCATCTTGCCTATACTTCCTGCCTAGCTACTGGCCAACCAGCATTTATTTGAAATATAAGTGACAGGGTACAGACCATTGTCCCACAGCAATCTCCCCTCCTTTTTAAACAAGAACTCTGAATCAAATCTTCTTTGCTTAGCTTTTCTACTGACCATTATCCATAACAACTTGTAACCAACATTCTAAACATAGGTAAATATCTGGTGTGGGAGGTCCTTCTGTCTTATGTGTAGCTTTTATTGGTTAGTGAATAAAGAAACTGCTTTGCACCTATAGCAAAGCAGAACTTGGGTAAGCAGGAAGAGCTAGACTGTATACTGGGAGGAAGAAGGGCAGAGAGAGAGAAGCCATGGAACCGCCAGAGTCAGACATGCCAAAACTTTAGCCAGTAAGCCATAGCCATATGGCAATACACAGATTAATAGAAACGGGTTAAATTAAGATGTAAAAAATTAGCCAATTAGAAGTTAGAGCTAATGGGCCAGGCAGTAATTTAATTAATACAGTTTCTGTGTGATTATTTCAGATCTAAGCTAGCTGGGTAGTCAGGACAAGCAAGTGGCCCCTCCTTTCAACAAATATCCATAATCCAGTTTTTGGGAATGTGGGCATAGTTTTCCAGGCTACTTCCTGCTGATTGGGGGTGCTGATAATCTTATGGGGACTTAAAGAAAATTTAAAATTATGATCAAGTCCTCACTGGAATATCCTGTGAGGCTTAATCATCTCAGGCAGCAGTCTGAACTGGTAGAACTCAAACATCTGGGCCAATCCTCCAATTAGCAATTTCTCAGGGGATCTTCCTTGGTCAAACCTGATTTTTCTTAATGAAGAATGAATCCACAGTCCCTCATTTCTTGTGGCAACAAAAGCAAAACCTTTTCTCCAAAATAACTTATCTCTTGACTTAAATTTTAAAGTCAAAGCATTTTCAAAGTATATATATTGGATTAATCCAGCAGCATTTATAATCAAATATCTTTTAGCAGCTTTTCCTCCTTCCTCAGTCATCAGACAATTTAAAGACAACACAATAACATACAGTATCCAGACTCTCTGTGTATTTCCCATCTTTATGAGGTTTTATTTTAACCTCTATTTCTTTTATTTTTATTTTTAATTTTTGGCTTTTTGAGACGGGGCTTCTCGGTATACCTTTGGCTGTCCTGGGATTCACTTTGTAGAGGTTGTCCTTGAACTCACAGAGATCTGCTTGCCTCTGCCTCCCAAGTGTTAGGATTAAAGGTGTATGCCACAACTCCCGACTACTCTCTTTTTTCTTTT